AGCAATTAATAGCTACAGGCGAAAAAATTCAACACAAAGGTAATAAATTTCAAAACAAAGGCGACAAAATTGGACAAAAAAATATGTCTAATAAAAAATTCAACACAAAGGTAACAAAATTTAAAATATTCAACACAAAGGTAACAAAAAATGTCTAATAAAAAATTTCAACACTAAGGTAATAATGCTTAGCTCAAGGTGACAAAAAAATTCAAACAAACGTAATGCAGTTCCTTTTACCAGTATGCTTCTGGTTTGCACCAAATTTCCAATATCCCCTAACGGCCTAATGGCCCATACAAATCTTCTCATATCCAAAATCAAGTTAATTCATTCAGACCTCGAAACGAACTGATTTTTCATCAAATTTCCCCATCTTATATCTATGTCCCAATCTCTTCCTAATCTAATCTAACTTTCCAATATCAACATGAAACAATCTAATTTATATAAAAAAAAGTTCTCAGATAATTTTATTCACTCAATTCAAAGGGGAAAACACCAATGCAGAAAAATAACAGATCACTCTGTAGAGCTAAGCTCACTCAAAGCAGCTCAAGATCCAGGAAATTGCAGAAACACTCAAAGTCACAACAAACTACCCGCACTTGAATCTGAAACAGGTTTTGAGATTTGGTACCTGTTGACGAGAAAGAGTCGGATCTGAAGGAAGTGATGGAGGCTACGAGCTCGATCCAGAAGCGGGAGGATCTTCGCGACCTCGCGAACGGCCACCTCCTTTGCCTCGATCTCCTCCATTCGTGGATCGATTTGAAATGTACGAAGCAGAAAAAAGAGATTAGAGTTACAGAAAAACCTAGAAAACTCACTATAACGATTCCCGCAAATTTTGAGCGCCTTCGGTTGATTCCTCTCTTTATCGAACAGATACAGCTACGCTTTCCAAAATCGAGCGAAATTAAGCGAGGAACCCTAGAATCATCAAATTGATGATAGACCTAAGGACGGCGTCTTTGTCATCCTCGTCGGAGGTGATGTGAGTTCCTCGATCTTGATGATCGGAGCGACCCGAGCTCCGGTGTCATCGTCCGCGTTGGACGCCGCGTCGTGGAACTCATCGTCGCCTCTTGATCGGCATCGGAGCTCTCCATGGCGATAATTTGAGAGAGATTGATGAGAAACAGAACAAAAAGGGAAGGAGGGGAAAAAAAAAACTAAAAAGAGTGACCGCTGGAGCTCAGGGTTTAAAATTGGATGTTATAGAAAGAGAGAGACTAGAGGCGGTGAAGGGAAAAGCAACGGGAGAGAAGTGGGGGCCCATTGGATGGGCTGGGTTGGCCAGCTGTTAAGCCCCAAATGGGAAAACTAAAGAAATGGAAGTGGGCTAATTCAAAACTTAATGAAGGTCGTTGTGGAAGGCTAATGGGCTGGGCTGGCCATCTATTAAGCCCTAAATAATTTAATGTCAGCCCAACAAGTAAAACAAGAGCGTATTCGTATGTTTTTTGTATTGATGTAGTGTGTTCTATTTAATGCTAAATTTTAATTTAATTATTTCGCGAGGTTTTTTGTGTTTATATTGATGTGGTTTGCTGTTTGTAATGATTTAAATTCGATTCCAAGTAGGGGTGCATTCGGTCCGGATACAGCTCGGATATGATGCTTATCATATCCATATCCGCTTACCCGTCTCGGATACGGATACGGATATACCTCGGTAAGAAAATTTTATAACCATATCCGCTAAAATCAGATACGGTTACAGATATATAAGCGATTATGCATGCAGATACAAAACAAATATGAGAAAACTAGATAGTATTGAGAAAAACATTGTTCATGTGATACAAAAGAGTTTGTTAATATGTCCATTATAATTAAAAAGTTAAGATTAGACATCTTGATCATCAAAATTAAGCACAAATCCATAATCTAAGAATCGAAACTATCGTAAGAGTATGACTAAAATGTATTCGGATATTTCGGATACGGATACAGATATTTCACTATAAAACAATATCCGTAACCATATCCTATCGGTTATAGATTTGAGTAACCATATTCGTATCCTAACGGATACGGTTAAGTATTTTATCGGATACTGATACAGTTAGCAGCCCCTAATTCCAAGACATATAATTGGCATTCTTCTTCTATTTATAGCATCACTATAGCAGGGATTTATTTCCCTTGCGTAAGCATATCTATTCCTTTTGGCCGTTTTCAGAAAAGAATGTTGTATATATATATATATATATAATATATATATATATATTATATATATATATATATATATATATATATATATATATATATATTATATATATATATGATAATTCTTATGTCAACTTAAGTGGATGGTCCACCAAAGTTTCTATCCACTCATGTTGCCTAGATTTCCTTGCATGATATGAAGTCTTTTTATATATATAAATAAGTGGGATAGAAACTTTGGTAGATAAAACTTGATGTCGCAGCTTAAGTTGACATAAGAATAAATATATATATATATTATATATATAAATATAGCTATATATATATATTATATATATATATATATATATATATATTAATATTAACTTTAATAATTTTAAAATGCCATGTCTCAGGGTTTTTATTCGATATCTAGTAATAGTAAGCGGCTAGGGGTTCTTGTGTGCGGTCTTATTCTTTTCTCTCAAAAAAAAAATTTCATTCTAATATCTCGTTGACCGCTGATGTTTTGTGCCTTTTTGACTTCTAGATTCTTAAGCCACACGGCATTTATTTAACCTGCACAGTCCTCATTTCAAAGCTACATTCACATAATATCATCAATAACTCTTTTTAAATCAATTTTGTGCAAAATCGCCATGATCAATATACTGTTATATTAACAAATTATGGCTAGCTTAATCTTGGTCTTCAATAAACACAAAGGAATCGAGAAAAAAACACAGCACACACAGAAAACACACACACACACACACATATATATATATATATATATAGTATATAATATATATATAATATATATATATATATATGAGAATTAATGGGTATCGCTTGGTCATTAGAAGGGGAATTTCCTCCTGACGCCTCTAAAATCACATGATTTGAGCGACATTATGGATGATCCGCTCCGTTGAAGCTTGATCTAGCAATATCTAAAAAGCCCACACACCATTGTTTGGGGTGAAATCGTCGTCGTTTGACCAGCTCCATCGAGCACATGTGAAAGTTCTATTATCAAAACAGTTAAAATTGATACGAGTGGATGAATGGTCACAAGGACGACGGGTTTCACCCAAACTTGGCGTGTTAGGGTTTAGAATATGTATATCAAGTTCAACGGAGCGGATCATCCACAGTGTCGCTCAATCATGTAATTTATAGAGAAGCGTCATAGGAGAAATTCCCTCCTATGACAAGGAGATCATTAATCTCTCTTCTCTCTCTCGCTCTCTCTTTATATTATATATATATATATATATATATATATATATATATATATATATATATATATATATATATATATATATCTATTTGTTAGCTTAAACAAATGACAATAAGAGGAACGAACTATGAACCACTCTCAAAAGTACGCTGAAACTTCTGATCCAGAGAAAAAATATTTATTTTTTTAAAATATTTATAACTATTATCCATCCGAAAAAAGTGAAGAAAGAGAGAAAAACTTGCCAGAAAATATGCATCATCAACGGCCTTTTCTTCTTTCGGCGGCATCTTCTTCTGATTCCATTAGACCCGCCCACATTACTCCTCTGACGCCTCAATTCTCAAGCAGCCCAGCTGCCAGACGGTCGACATTCTTTGATCTCTCTCTTTTTGGTG